TTTTGGCACTTTTTCTAGAAGTTTAAAACCAGAAATGGTTACTCAAGGTTAAATTAACTAAAGATATGGGCCGTACGCCTCAATTGCCGGAAATCAGGTTACGATGATCGAATTGCAAAGCTTTTTTGACCAACCTTGGAGTCAACCAATATTTTCGAAATTTCGAAAAGCAACGCAGCATACCGGTGAACACGCGACGAAAAGCTTCAAATATTTTGTGGGACCGACCAGGCCGTACTTCCTGCCGATATGTTGTCAAGATATTGGGCGGCTGGCCCCTTCAAAAATTATTCACCGCAATGCCATCCACTTCCTTAACAGATTTCTCGTCTCAACCAGTTTCATAATTTGAATTTTTGGTTACGACATGGAATTCAAGTTTCTTGCACTTCTAAAAAGCCTAAAAATTCCATTTTTTTAGCATTTTGGGCAGGTCAGCTAGCAGAAACCATTTGAGAAAATGAGCTCTATCGGACAAGCGTCTATTCGTGTTGATGTTACTGAATCTGGCTACCGATCATCTCATTCTATATTCCAATCAAAAATCTTTGGAAATCATCCTCAACCTCTTGAAAATCTAATCGGGAAACGTACAGCAACCGGAAGCAGGAAAATCGTTAAGGCGGATTTCCGGTACATTGAAAAATCTTGTTGAACCTGGGGGGGGGGGGGCAAACTAGCCGATATTATTGCGGACATTTTAATGCGCTGACGTTGAAAGGCTTTTGAAGCTTGCCAGTAATGCCAAAACGTATTTTTCTGTATAATTTTCGGCTTTGGAATCAAGATTATCCTCTCAAAGCCAGGGGCAAGCTAGCAGAGATTCTGGGGGAAGTTGTATTTCCGGAAATCGGTCGCGTAAGTAAATGTGGGTCCGTTAGCGATCGAGAGGCAAGCTAGCAGAGATCCTCGCGGAAACTCTAGTTTCGACTTTTGCAGCTTCCTGTTGTGAAATGAAACTTCCCATGGCAATCCCGGAGAGATTCCTGGGGAAAACGGTTCCTTCCTGGAGCCGGAATTTTACGCAACTTCCTATTGACGCTTAAATTCCTTCTCAGGGATCTTTTTGATCGGAATATCCAACTTCCGGCGCCTTCTAATCCCCATGGGCCTTCTGAATCATACTTCGCATTATTATATCTTTTCTGATTCTGAATTCCGAGCCGGGCGATCCGTAATTGCGGTCCACTACCTACTCCCGGAGGGAATAATTAGCTCTCTCTCTCTCTCTCTCTCTCTCTCTCTCTCTCTCTCTCTCTCTCGCTTTCGCTCTCTCCCGCTTTCTCTCTGTGTCTCATCCACAATCAAGGAACTTGCCTCAAGCTACAAATAAGCAGTCCTTTCCCCTCTAGAGAATTTATCACGAGGTCCAAAATTGACACCTTTTTGGCATCCGAATTACCCCCAGATGTTTATTTTTATCGTAAAAATTGCGCCTTGAAATTTGGCTCTTGAGCGTTAGATATTTTCAAAGAAGATATCGCAAAAATTCGACAATTTGTCGTTCCCTTTAAAAATGAACGAAAAGAATTTGGAGAGGTGGACAGACTTTTCAAAGGGATCAAACGGCTCAAAAATTATCATAATTTCTATACGTGGAAAAGCTCCCCCAAAACGGCCTACGCCTAGTTATTCAAAAAATCGACCCGGCGTGTGGGAATTTTAGGCGCAAGAAAATTCGATTGCGTAAATTGACAAACCGGTGACACTAGGGTCACACGATATCGTCTGGGTTGTAGAGCTGACTTGATAAATCAAGAAATTTCGCATCACGCACGTCGAAATTCACCAAAGTACAAAAATTCGGATTCCGATTCCCAGGCCGAGCAGCCATGGGACTAACGGTTCTTTAATTTCATGCTTAAAAAGTCCGTGCCACCGTCCCTTCGAACCAGGAAGCGACGCCAACTGATTTGGGTATCTGCTAACGTATAATCTAAAAAGCATTTCTCATGAATCCTGCCGAAAAACATTACCAAAATTCCCTCACACTCACTTTAATAGATCAAAGGTACTTTTGGCTTGGTGGAAACCGATTAAGCTATCTATTTTGGTCTTTTCCACTGCTGCCTATACCTATTAAAGTCTCCGTCCTGTTACGCTCCCTTTAATGACCTGTTCCTGGGCAGGCGTATCTATTAATGCGGAAACAAATGCGCGTGTTTTGTAGTATAGTCGTAAACTGCCCGCCAATTCCGGTTTCCGGGTCTTGAATTTATCCATCATCGTCTGTCACGCCGCCTTTAATACCCGTAGGAGAGAGGGTGTTCCCCGCCCTATTAATGCGTTGTCATGGCACCTTGTTGGCCATGTAAGGGGTGGGGGAGGGGTTGGTGACCGCGATGTACCCCTATATCCGCGTTTCTCTCTCTCTCTCTCTCTCTCTCTCTCTCTCTCTCTCTCTCTCTCTGGCTCTCGCTAGAGGGGGAAGAATCGGATTTCCCGAACGGCGCGCAAATCTTCTAATCCGACCATGGGGGTCCGGCTGGTATATAATGTGACACATCCTTATTTTTTCTTAGGTGAAAAAGTTGTTGATGACTCAAAATCACCGCTGTCTCTCTCTCTCTCGCTCTCTCTCGCTTCCTCGCAAATTTACCGTATGTTGATTCCGTTGGACCGCGCGTTGACACGACTCCAGTTAAGCCACGCCCCTTGGTCCTCTCTGGCGCGGCTCCTTTCGCTCCTCAGAAAAACATAAACAGCCCGGGGTCGCGGCCAATATGTCGCCCGGTCCCTCATTTCCAATCAGATCGGCAACATCGGTTCCTTCCCCCAGATTTCCTCCTGGATTTTTCATGGTTTTCCTTCAGCTGGGGATGAGGTGTCTATCGGAATTTAGTGGATACCGATTGCACTCAAAAACCGCTTCAAAACGTTTCGGAGCTATCAGAACACCCAGATTTCGTGTTGCCACCTTCAAAAACCGATGCCTATCCTGATTTCGAGCTGGTAAAGCCTTGTGGATTAGTCATCTCTTGGAATTTACTGGCTGGCCATCGATAACACCCCCTAAACGTTTCAAAACGTTCCGAAACCGCTTTGGAACACTGATAAGTTTATTTGCTGATGGCAATCTTTGACAAACTTTTGCAAGAAATTAGACTTTTCAGAATCTTGGCTTTTCAACTATTTTTTTTGTACATTTTTTTGCACAAAAATGTTGTATTCTGTTTCCGGACTTGGCTAGAAGTCAAGTAATGGTCCCTCTCTCTTCTTCCCTATCCCTCCAAAATCCGACATCAACTAGACATATCAAAAATTTCTGTAGTTTTTCACCTACAAAAAATAAAGTCACGTCAATATAATCAATTTGCATTGAACTATTTCTCTCTCACTCACTCTCTCTCTCTCTCTCTCTCTCTCTCTCTCTCTCTCGCAAGATCAAAATCCCAATAGTTCCTTACTTCCCGATCCCTCCAATTAGGCAGATTGGTTTTTGTGAGCGTATACCCTTTGCTCGAAACGACGCGAAAATATGCAGCCGCCGGGCTGATCCGGATCCTGAAATCCCGCCAAAGTCACCGCGCCTAATCCGCTCCGGGAATCGGCGAGGGCGCAGTAAAAACTTTCAAACCCTCGTTCATCATAGTGCTGGCGACATTTGGATGAAAGTCGAACTTTTCGAAATCTTCTTTATACCTAAATTCCAATATCCCTTCAGTTTAGGCAAAAAAACGTAATTTCTAGCCTTAAAATTGCTATTTTGAGAATCCAAAGTCCGGGGCATTTTTGTTTACATGATTTTATGACTTTTCGATCGAAAAACACAGAAAAAAGTGAATCACGACACTTTTTCTGCTTCTCCGCGCGACTCCGAATCACGTGAGGCCCATGTGTAAATTACGTCATGCTCTCGGAACGATCGAGCGTTTTTTGGACATCGAAAATTTAAGAGATTTTGTTTTCTTAGCTTATTTCTAGACGCTTGACGCCGCTTTATTCCGTTCGCAATTAAATTAACATTTTTAAAGGCATGGACTACGACGCGAACTTGGTGTCGATGGAGATGATCGCGGCGGCGGCGTTGGACGACAATAATAATGAGTATCCGATGGTGACTATGGTGAGTTAGAGACAAATAGACAGAGAGAGAGAGAGCGAGAGAAAGAGCGAGAGAGAGCGCGATGAAGTTGTACAGAACGGCATCTGTTCCTCTACTTTAGTGGCACGACATCGAAGTCGAGCGGAAGGCGATCAACTGGTTCATGTCGCGCTGTCTGCGCGGGTTCCGAGCTCAAATTCTGAGCCGGGAGGAGCTGTTCTGGAAGGTGGAGGAGGCGTTCATTCTGGAGGATTATATTTTTCAGCGGTCTGTGAGCTTGGTGGGTGCAGTTAATAGTAATAGCTCTTTACGGTTGGCGTAATTTCGACCATAGCGTAGTTGTCGGCACCTAGTAGGGTAGATTTTTATATTTCCCAGCGTTAAACTAGTCGGAGAAGGCCCGAATGCCACTCAAAAACACGCAAAATTCGGTTCAAGCGCTAGTTGCGCGTCTCTATGCAAAGCCAAACCCTTTAAGCCGATGAAGCTTCCAAAAATATCGAAAAACTACATAAAATCATTTCCATTTCCAGGAAGACTACCGCGAAAAGTTCTCAATGGCCTGCTCGCAGCTGGGCGGCGGCAAGGAACCGATGCCCCCGTTCGATCAGCTGCCGTAAACACGTGGAATGTAACGTAGTCTCCTCACCCAACCGGCTAGGACCCGCCGCTATACATAGAGTGCCTTCTGTGGTCCCGCCAATAAATTGCATATCAACGTTTTTAAAGTGTAAAAAAACGAAAAAGATTGAAAAACATAAAAGTGCACCAGAATATGCGTTGTTTTCACTTAAAAAAACTCGATAAAATGGAAAATTTAGTTATTTGAAAGCCTCAAGTGTATCCAAGCTAGTTTATGGTCCCGAAAACATTTAAAATCGATTATATAACGCTTTTAAAGCTTAAATTAATGTATCTGAGACCAAAGCCTACAAAATACACCCCAACGGACTTACTTGAATACGCCAACTGATCGCAATAAGTCCCGCCAAGTGCCGTAGGGCAGATACAGGAATTGCAGGTACTCGGGTTGGTGTAGCCCTCATTTTGGCAGGGTAGGGAAGCGCCGCAAGACCCTAGAAAGCAGTACAGTTACTATCACAAAATCTGAGTAGACAAGAACGTACAGAGTAAAAAGCGTACCACCGTAACCCCTTAAAAATAATCTATCAGATTTTAACAGCATAATGCGGCGTAAGGATCGAAAGGTCGTGCAAAAAAATCAAAAATATAAAGTTCACTGTTTAAGGCAACTCTAAAGGACCTGGAAATGAAAATCGATCCCTTACGTCAACTAGGTCTCGACAACGCCAAATCTGCGCGCTGGGACAAACTACGCATGCAAGAGCACTTCACGTCTTGGTGGAAGTCTTGTATTTTGGCGCCAGTTTTCGAAACCTGGTCTACTGAAAGGGTGGATTTTCGTCTCCTTACGCCTTTAAGCACCATTAAAAATGAACAAAGGTTTTGCTTGTCTATGAAATTTTTACGAAAATATTAACCAACGGACCCCATGACTCTAGACATTTTTCCTTACTTGAGCAATACATCAAATTGACCGCCTTGTAGTCGTAGAAAGCCGGTTCCACTCGGTTTCCGATGGTGTACGAAAATTGCGATCGCAATGGGGTGATCGTGTCGGAGCCAAAGGATTTCGAGAACGACTTGAAATATATAAACATTTTCGTAAAATCCGAAAAACTCACATTAATAGCGTAGTGCATGACGCTACCGTAGTCGTACGGGATTCCGAGGGACTGAGAAAGTGCAGGAGATCGCTTGTCAAAAGAGCCGGTGTAGCCGGAGGCGATATTTTGAAAGTTGACCCTAAAATTTGATCCTTTAGTAACTTAAATCTTTCCAAATAAATATTTTAGAATCTGGGATTGAGGGTTATCAATCTAATTTCTCACAAAACTAGAGAAAAATGAGCTCCAAACCTGATATAGGCATCGCGTTCCGGCCGGGACTGCTCGTGGTATAATCCTAGGCTGTGGCCGATTTCATGGGCAGCAATTCCCAGCTAAATCGTTAAATATAGTTTCTAAACAAAATGGAACCGTTTCGCAGCCACTTCCCAGTGAGATTTCTTGTTGGCCGCCAAGCTTTCCGACACCAGAATAACATCTGCAAAAAAGAAGAAAAATGGAAATGGAGGAAAAAATCAACAACATAGTCCTTGCATCAGATCAAATTGGAAAAATTACAGGCGAGATAGAGAGATAGAACAGAGAGAGAGAGAGAGAGAGAGAATACAGCGAGATAGAGAGATAGAACAAGAGAGGAGAGAGAGAGAGAGAGAGAGAGAGAGAGAGAGAGAGAGAGAGAGAGAGAGAGAAATTACAGGCGAGATAGAGAGATAGAACAAGAGAGAGAGAGAGAGAGAGAGAGAGAGAGAGAGAGAGAGAGAGAGAGAGAGAAAGAGAGAAAGCAAGAGAGTTAGCGTGAGAGAGAGAACGAGATTTGAAGAGACTGATATAACTTGCTTCCACCAAAAACTTGCCCATCCCCCTTATTAAAAATCAGGAAATCGCCGGCATTCCCGTTTTCCCAGAATCTGATGCAGGTGTTGGTCTGGTAGAGTCGTAGCGCGGCTCGGATAGTGTTTTGCCAGGTTCCTAAATAAAAATGAATTTGTTTGTTTAGTTTTCAGACCATCGGTATCGCCAAATCGATAGGCGATCGTGGTGGTCCATCTTTTTCCAAGATCCGAGGTTACTTTTCTGCGACGACGGTTGCTGATGATTTGGTTTAGCTAAAATAGCGAGTAGCGAGAGAGTAAAGTTAAAGAGAGCTAGAGAGAGAGAGAGAGGGGCGAGAGAGTTAGAGAGAGAGAGCGGAGAACAGGACTCGCTGACCTGGGCCATAGTCAACATCATATCCGCTTCAAACAATCCACTCGTAATTCGGCTATTCGCTCGAATCTCGTTGTGCAAGGCTGCCGTAGTGATGGGAGTAGCTGGGTTCTGAAATTCGTCAAAAGTTTAGCGTCCTCTCCTAAAGCTTACAAAGGTAAAGCCAGCTCTCTGACTGTAGTATCGATTCAGGGCCGTCACCACATTCTCGTAGCTCTGCCCGCGGAAGGCGCTGTTGAAACGGTTCACGTTATTGATAAGCTGAAAAGGACAGGAACACTAGGAACTCGGATTTAGCATATTTTTGGGAAATGAGTTCTACGGATTTGGTTGTTCTACAAAAATACAAAATGCCTGCATAGCCTTCAACGCACATTTAAAACTGCGAAGAAATACCTACCCGTCGCAGCGTTGGAAAATTGTCGCGACCCATCGTTCGGAATTGCTGTTGAGGAGGTGGAGGAGGTGGTGGAGGAGGAGGCTAAAGAAAAAGCTAAGTTGACGACGCTTCAAGGCTTCCTCAGGCTCTATTTCGCTCGCTCTCTCTTCTTTCTCTCTCTCTCTCTCTCTCTCTCTCTCTCTCGCTCTCTCTGCTTCTCTCTCTTTCTATTTCTCTCTGTCTCTCCTTCTCTATCTCTCTCGCTCTCTCTATCTCTCACCTGCGGTCTAAACCTAGGAGGAGGTGGTCCTTGTTGTGGTTGAGGTGGAGGCGGGGGTTGATTCTAAAGATTGGTATTACCAGCATAACCTAAGATTTTCAGCATAAATTTAAGAATTTATTGTCGCTATTAGCTTACAAATTGTTGCTGCATCATTTGCGGAGGAGGTCCGCCCTCACCTTGATCGAAGTTTGGAGGCTAAAAATGGCAATTTTCCTGGGAATCCCAGAAAACATTAGTTACCGGCTGTTCATCGAACTCAGGCGGTGGTGGGCCCTCGTCCATCTATGTTAATGGCATTAGTAGTTAATATAAGAATTAATAAATTGTAAGGACTAGCTCGCCCAGTGCGTGATTGTTAAGAAATACTCACAAATGGTCTCGGTCCGCGTCGCTAAAAGAATACATCGGTTTTATCAAAACTTAACGGGAAATTTGAGCATAACGGAATTGACAATTTTTAAGCACGTTATTACGGTAATGACGTACTGTAATTTAATGTAATATTGATTTTACCAACACTAGGTAAATTCCTTGGATACTTACAAAGAATGGTGGCGGAGGGCGCATCTAAAAGAAATACCTTCAAATCAGTTTTTCTGCAAATTTCATGTTCTACATTCAAAGAACCAACCCATGGAGGTCGTCCAAATCCGCCACCTGGGCCTCCAAAACCACGCGGCCCAAAACCGCCACCTCGGCCGCCAAAACCGCGAGGCCCGAACCCGCCACCACCCCTAGGCCCAAAAGGAGGCGGACCGTCGTCTTCTGCCATCGGGCCAACATCGCCCTCATCTCCTAAAGCTTTTTTTCGATTTTTAAAAGTAAGCTAATTTCAATACTATACTTTTGACGCTACAGAAAATACATCGACAATACAAAAAAATAACATACCAATTGGTCCTCCAAATCCGCCATGGTGATGATGGTGATGTCTCATCCAGGGAGGCCGACCGATTGGAGGCCCAAATTGAGCAAGGGCTACGGTAGCCCAAGTAAGAATTAGGAGTACCATAACTTCTAAAAGGTGGAGAGTATTTTACTACCTGCAAAAATTAACGAAATAAAAAGTTGCTCGGAAAATGTAGTGAAATTTTTAGAATGATTTGGAAGAAGGTTGAATCTTAGAATTTCTAACAAGGGAACCACCTAAGGTCAAGGTGGCGTTTCGTTATGGGACCCAGCCTATTTTGTGTAGAATTTTTTGCTGATTCCGAACCCGCTTTCAATTTTTGCTAAATAGCCCAATTTAAAAAGTTATAGCGATTTTAAGGTCATATCTGTGCCCACCGGAAGTCATCTGTCACGATGCCCAGCTTTTTTTATTTTAATAGGGCAGTCGATTTTTAATAGCCTATCTTGTAGAGAATTTTTTTCTGATTCGATTGGTATATTTCATTAGTGCGCTACGACCTATCGACGATCACTTACGGGGGTGTGAAATAGGCAATTTTTCACCATTTCCCATACAAAAAACGGAGTCCATACCAAGTATCGTCGATTTTTTCAATTTTCAACAATTTTGAGTTAAATAGCTCATTCGATAGAGAAAATTTTTCTGAATACGATGGCGATATTCGGTTTTGAGGGATCAGACGGGAAAGGCAAGATAAATGACTTTGAAGTTCGAAAATTTGGGAAAAACTGGAACTTTGAAACGCTATAACTTTTTAAATTGGGCTATTTAGCAAAAAATCAAAGCGGATTCGAAATCAGCAAAAATTCTGCACAAAAATAAGCTCGGTCCCATAACGAAACGCCACCTTGACCTTAGGTGGTTCCCTTGTAAGAAAACCTGGACATATTAAAGCCCATATCAAATCCAGATAGATCAGGTTCAAAAACCCGAAAAATTTAATCTAGTCCAACCGGTAGGTATCCAAACAACTAGCCGCGAAATCATCCGCCTCTCTTTTTCCATTTCTCTACCACCACGTTCCCCCCATTTCCACAATCTTTGCCATTCCCAAAAGGTTTCTGTGATTTGGCGAAATCAACTCGGGAAGAGAGAAAGAAAGAGAGAGAGAGAGAGAGAGCGAGCGGAGGGGAGAGAGAGAGAGAGAGAGAGAGAGAAAGCTGCTGCCGCTTGCCAAGGATTTCAAGGGCGATTTGCTTTGCGACCGTCCGGAACTGACTGGCCTATTGCTCGAGGAAATGCTTTTTTAGGGTCGGGATGACTGAATTAAAATCGCCACCGCCTTCTTATTCGCTGAACTGAACCCGGCTGAACTGTACGTTAACAAAATATTTTGTCTGGTCCTTGATTGATATGAGCTGTCATTGAATTTTAAAATAAGGAAGCAAACCCGAGAAATAGCACAACCTAAAGCTGTAGCACCACCTATCGTAGTTGTATGTTTTGGGTCGTATCGCTTGATATTGTGGATCGTACTATTTTCTTATCGGAACATCTGGTAGTGTAGCGTCTCTTCTCGTAGCGTAGTGTACATTATCTATTTCGCAGCGTATTGGATCGTATCGTAACGTATCTTGTCGTAGCGCATCGCGCCGTTTTTGTATCGTATCGTACACTATCGCATCCAAACTCACTGTAGCCCAAAGTATCCTATCGAATCTTATCGTATGGTTTTTCGTATCGTAGTGCGCAGTGTTGCATCGTAGTCTACTATATCGTAGCGTAGTGCAATGTGTCATATCGTAGTATCGTCTCGTCTCCTATCGTCATGTAGCGCACGGCATCATGACGTATCGTGCCGTATTGCTGTGTACCGTAGCTTGTGGGCTTAAGATTTTAGCAAAGCCGGGCAATCTTCAGAAATTGCTCTCATTTATTTTTAGCCCCTTTCAGCTTGGTGTTTAGGTTCCAAAACGCGCTCCTCATTTCCGTTTTCCTTCCTTCCCGCGCCGGGGGCACTGACTGACCCCTGGGTGTCTATTAGGGGACAGCCGGGGGTTAGATAAGAGAAGCCGGGGGCGATGGATCGCCAGATTCGCCTCGTTTCCCTGCACTTTGCACCTCGCTAATCGACACCTTTTTTGTTTTTCTTGATTATTTAAGCCATTTCCGGTTTTACCGGTGGTGTGGTTAGGTTCAGCTCGTAGTCGGGTGTAGTTTGGCGTGACCTTTAATTTCTAAGCTTTAAAGCGAAGCCGGTTTGAGCCGCTTTCAGGTTTTTCAAGTGATGGTTCAGGCTTGTTGTCCCTTCCATTAGAGACAATTAAGCCTATGTTAAGCCTATGTTAAGCCTAAGCTAAGCCCAAGCTAAGCCCAAGCTAAGCCTAAGGTAAGCCTAAGCTAATCCTAAGGTAAGCCTAAGGTAAGCCCAAGCTAAGCCTAAGCTAAGCCTAAGCTAAGCCCAAGCTAAGCCTAAGCTAAGCCTAAGCTAAGCCCAAGCTAAGCCCAAGCTAAGCCTAAGGTAAGCCCAAGCTAAGCCTAAGGTAAGCCTAAGCTAATCCTAAGGTAAGCCTAAGGTAAGCCCAAGCTAAGCCTAAGCTAAGCCTAAGCTAAGCCCAAGCTAAGCCCAAGCTAAGCCCAAGCTAAGCCTAAGGTAAGCCCAAGCTAAGCCTAAGCTAATCCTAAGGTAAGCCTAAGGTAAGCCCAAGCTAAGCCTAAGCTAAGCCTAAGCTAAGCCTAAGCTAAGCCTAAGCTAAGCCTAAGCTAAGCCTAAGCTAAGCCGAAGCTAAACGAAAGCGAAGCCGACGTTAAGCTCAAGCTTTCTCAATCACCTTGACCACAACTCCGCCCGGCTCCAAAGAACGCTCAAAATGCAGCTGTGTTTTCTTTCCGAGCACTCCTCTGTCCAGCTCCAGGCCATGGGAATCCCACACTTCCTTTTGCCCGCAGCCGCCCATAGCTTTTCCATCCCCCATCCGCTTCTCTCAATCTCCATTTCTCCATGATCTCTTGCCCTGGGGCTCCGATGCATCCCACGCATTTCGTAAATGTGGTTGGGTTTTTGAAACTATTGGAAGATACTTTCGAATTTTCGCTATAAGAACAAAAAATTCCTAATTTTATTAATTATTAATTAATTATTATTATTAATTTCCTACAAAAAATTTTAAAGGAATGAGCCATGGGACGCCCTAGAATTTTCCATATACTGCCTCAAAAATGGAATTTCGTCATTGCTAGGCTTTTCCAACGATTTTACCATGAGGAATATCATATATTTTAACCATAAAAATTTTTAATAACGCAAATAGGCGTCCGAACCCCTTTCAATGCTTAAATTTGCCTAGCGAGCTTAGGAAATTGATGTTAACGATAGCTATAGCTTTTTCGGTGTCGTTAACTTTTTATTTTTAATTAAATGTTAAAATGTTTGCTAATTGGTCCTATCTTTCTAGGCCGGTTGAAACCAGCATAAATTTTATATCAATTTTTCCAAATTTCTGCATCCTTCCAAGCTTCTTCCGGGTCGTTTTGTTTGTGTATTTTTTTGTGAGGCTCAATTTCCGATTTTTAATGTGACTTTCAGCTTACGCGGTACAATTATTTATTTATCGGATCGTCCGCTTGCTCCGCCCACCAAACCCGATCGAAAACATGGCAACAGAGCCATTACTCAGGTTTGCGCTTGTAACACTTTTTTCGTCGGTATTTTCCATCGATTCTGTGGACATTGCTTGATTTTCCTTCTTCAAAAAATCTTTCAAGGTTAGCTTTTTAGCAATCTTCATTAAAAATCTATTAAAATCGGATTAACCCGTTAAAATTTGCTTAAACTATAAATCTTCCTGCTTACAAAATTTCGGTGAATTATAATCCAGAATTTTGTAGTTTGTAGTCTTGCATTTTCGATTTGTTTGT